ATCGAATGTTACACAATATAAAAAAGATCGACATTTGATTTTATCACCTCGTGATATAACGAATGTCCATTATGCTCATATAACGTTGCTAGGTTGATTACACAATCGATCATTACGCTTGTATATAAAAAACTACTTTTTTTGGTAATTTTTTTTTTTTTAAAACAAACTGCTATTATCTACTCCGTTTCGAAAACCCATAGTTTTTACTTTTCAAAAAGTTTACAGGAATCGTACAAAAAGTTTGATCCGACAATACAGGTTTGTATTTTTTTAATCCTTTCAGCAAAAAATGCTTCGATGTCGTTTTAAAAAAGTGATTGTAAAAGAATAAAAAGAAAAGTCAAAAAAATAACAAAGAAAAAAAACTTGAAAAAATATACAAAATAGGAACTTAAAAAAATAAGCCAGCGACATCAAGCAAAAATACTTGTCTTTGTATATAACCTTTGGTATGTTTTTTATTGGGTTTGGGTCTTTTAACACTTTGCTTTTTGCTACCCTTGTTTTTTTTTATTTCGCACTTTTTGGCTGTTTCACCTGCTGTCTCAAATAAGGTTTTGGTGAACAACCACGAGTGCGAATAAAAGTTAAAATTGGATGTCCATGAGCAAATAAACGATGGCCTCTTCATGTTTTGGTCTTGTCGCTCGTTGCTCATGGAATTCTTTGTGATCTCTCATGAATGAGTTTATAAACATATCTAAATCAAACCCCTACCTTCTATGGAATTCTTGGATGAAAGCTTTCTTTCTTTTCATCTTGAATTAAATTTTCAACCATGGCCGATGAAACTGTCCAAATTGACCAAAACGATAGTCATCATGAAGAGGGCGATGTTACTGAAGATGCTGAAGCGGTAAACATTATTCTAATTTAATATCTAAAATTATTTATGATCAATATTTGTCGAGATGGAACATTTCACACTATCTCTTTGGTAAAGGAGATCGAGGCAATGAAACAACGGGTTAAAGAGATGGAAGAAGAAGCTGCTAAACTTCGTGAAATGCAAGCTCAAGTCGAGAAAGAGATGAATCTCACTTCAGAAGGTAGCATTCAATTTATTGAAGTAAATAAAATATATAATCTATTAATCAAATCAATATTTAATAAATTTTAATAAAATATTTAGAGGATAAAGAGGCAATCGACGCACGATCGATTTATGTTGGAAACGTGTGTTATTTTATTATTTTTATTAATTTTTTTTTTGAAATGATCATTTTATTGAAATATTTTTTTAATATTTTTTTGAATTTATATAGGTAGATTATGCAGCTACTCCAGAAGACCTACAGAACCATTTCCAGTCTTGTGGTACAATAAATCGTGTTACAATTCTTTGTGATAAATGGAGCGGACATCCAAAAGGGTAAATAAAGAACAGAAAATAGGTTTCTTTTTTTGTTAATAAATAAGGATTCTAAATTAATATCGTTTTACATAGATATGCTTATGTAGAATTTGCAGATCCTTCTTTAGTGGCTAACGCGATGTCGTTGGATAACACAGTACTGCGTGGAAGAGCCATTAAGGTAATTCATTAATAGTAATTTAATTTAAAATTTTTAAAACAAATGCATATTAATATTTTTAAATTCAGGTTACGGCAAAACGCACAAACATTCCAGGATATACTAGTACTAGAGGAAGAGGTGGAAGAAGCGCTCGCGCTAGTTGGCGTGGTGGATATTACGGACATGGTGCTTACTATAGTCCCACGTTCAGAGGTGGCCGTGCGAGGTAATTTATGATTATTTATTAATTTTATATTGACATTATCTACTTCACATTATTTATTCAATTCATCATTAGAGGACGACGTGCTTCTTTCGCTCCTTATTAGATCACTTTTTAACCAATAGCATTTAGTGGTTTAATAATTAATTGATTGATGGAATCCTTTTTTAAAAAATTTTTACTTTATCTATCTATCAAAAAAAAAAAAAAAAAAATAGCCTTAAATTAACTGGCTGAAATTACATTCGATTCTTTTTCTATAATACTTTCTATTTCTTTTCTATCCACGTCTTTCCTTTCCTTTTCTTTTTTTTTTTCCTTTTTTTTTTTTTTTGAATTGATTTTAAGTTGATTTTATTAATTGGTTAACTTTATAATATCAACAGAAGTTACTATGAATGAAAGAAAATTAAATGTAATAATAAAATCTAGCATATATACAAATTAAATAAAGAAATTAATAACTACAAATAATTTTTCTGCGGAATTTATTAGTGGAACATTTGATCTGTAATTTACTACGGCAATTCTCATGCAAATTACACCTATAAAAGTCACCCTGAAAAACTCGGGGTCAAATAAATAAGCACCAAAATTAAAAAAAAATCGCTATGCCATGGAAAACGTGCAAATTGCAAAAAGACTTTCTTTATTAGAAGAACAGAAAAATTTATTGATAGAATCCGCAAAAACACAAGGTTGGATTGACGACGACTCTACTTCATTAGAATACGACGATAGAGAAAATTTCGAATCAGAAAAACTTTCCGTTGTAAACATGGTTAACGCTGAAGAAACAATACTTGAACAGCAAAGTCTTTCAACTATGGAATTTCGAGTTCATCATTTAGAAAAGTCGATCTTTGGGTTTGACCCTATTGCCAAAAAAGCTTTAGCTTATGAAAAGCTTAAAGAACAATATTCATTACAAAAGAGAGTGGATGAACTCAAGAAAGAATTTAACGCCATTATAATGGAGCGTGATGGAGCTGACGGTTTAAAGACCTTTCTCGAGATTTGTAAATAACATTTTTTTAAATCGATTTCTTATAGATCATTTTTTTTTAAAAAAAAAATTTTATATTGTATAGACGAACAGACATCTGAACTCGTATCTCCTTTTAAAGACTCCGCACTCGCCATGGAAAGAGTTATTCTGACTCCTGAAGCCAAAGCAGAAATTGTTATATCTTCAGCTAATGAACTAAAATTAGTCGCCGAAAATTTGAAACAAATTAACGAATTGCAATCAATAATTGAAGCACCAGAATTCAAAGGTATCAAACGAATTGGATCAAACCTTCTTATATTGAACCTAATTATTAATTTGTATTTTTTTATTATTTATTTTTAGGCTTTGAAAAACTTCTTCCCCAACTTACACCCATTGAAACAATTCATATAGATCAATCTTCAAAAGCTAATGAAGTCTCTGCTCGTATAACACAATTGTTAGACTCATATAATGGAATTGTATCCTTTTAAAATATAATTCAATAATACAGTACAATTAAACAATAATCATCTTTCTTAATACATAATCTTTAATTCCTTTTTTTTTTTAGGTTAATACACTTTCAGAAATTTTTATTTCTTGGGATCATATTCTTTCAGCAATCGATGCAAATGTATCTTTGCTTGAAAGAGCAAAGGGGTGATGAATTGGGCATGATAAAAGTTATTTATTTATAAGTGAAAAGTTACGATGATTAGATTCCTTTCTATAAAATTATTTCTTACTCAAGATTCGAATATTTGCATTCAAAATTTTCATCAATCAAACTTTTTAGTATATATATATTATATATTTTTTTCAGATATTTTGTTTACTATTTCGTATACCTTTATTTCATATTACTTTTAATAGAGAAATTCATTTGATGAATTTTTTTACAAATGAAATTCAACCAATTTTAGCATATTGGCATCGTTTGGATGTCTCTTGGCAATTCCGGCACGGATTAGCGTCTCTACATAAGGATTCCATACTCTATCTGGATCAAACTTTAAATAAGGGTTGTTAGGATTAGAATACGTTTGGTTCATCAAATCCTATTTTAATGTGATTATAATTAATAAAACGTATTCAATCCGTCAATCATTTAAGTTTATTCATATGATGTACCTCTATCATATCTTTTAAAGATAACATTATCTCATTTTCATTTTCTAAATCATCACTATTGTCAATCATTATCTTTCGTTGTAAGAGAATTTTGTGACAAAATATGTTAGAAGAGTATAAACGAAAATCAATAAATAGCCAGAAGGAAAAAAAATGCATTTACTTCATCACTCGCACAGTCCTGTGGTGGGAAATTAGTGTCAGCGAATTTCCTAAATTCATACATCAACGTGTCGAAATCCTTTCTAACTGTATTGATCTTCTCCCTTATAACACTGTTTAATCAACCATTTTTAATATATATATTTTTTTGATTAATATTTAATCGATAGGTAATATCGTACCCTATTTCTGATTTCTGAGTCATAGACCCGATGTTCTGTTGAAATCTTTTCAATTTATCCAATAAGGTGTCATGAATAATTTCACTTTCGTTTAAAGTATCTCTCTCTCTATAAATTAATAACAAATAAATAAATGATTTTTATAGAATAAATCATATACAAACTAAAGTACCTCATAATTTGATCTTTTACTTCATTAATCTCTTTATTTAACCGTGGTAATATATTTTGATAATTTTCGATGGTTTGATGAACATCTTTCATAACAGATAATTCGCGAAGCACATGAGGTTTTGTTGTTACAATTCTTTGATCTAAGAAATAAATTTTGATTTAGAAATCTTCAGGAAATTACTATATTAATATACTTTTCGAAAGAAAGAAAAAATAAAGATATATATATATATATATACTTTTTTTTTGCTCTTCAATTTCTTCATTTAATTTTTGTTCTTCAGCTTTCATAATAGCGATTCTCTAAAATGAATTCGAGTTATTTAACTATTTTTTTTTTTAAGTGGCGCGAAAATACCTTTTCTTCTTCGGATAACGCGTTCAGTGGTGTTTCAAAATGTTTTAATTTGGAACGTATCTAAAATACATTAAATTAAAGATTAATTTATTTGGCGCGTATCCCGCTAAAAATTTATACTTACTTCATTCAGTTTCACGTATTCTTCTTCACATTGTCGTTTCAATGACTGTAAGACTTGATCTATATCTTGTTCTAAATTAAAAGGACTAAACGTAGGTTTAGAAATCAAATTATGTACGAGTGAGTTAATATTTGTAAAGGAAAAGCTTAAAGGAGTTTCTAATTCGGAGGAAGTGGTGGAATTTGGTGTGTTCATGTCTAAGTCGAGGTGAATCGCGTAGTAAAAAAAAAAACGATTTTAAAATTATTGTCACGTAGTTTAGTAAAAGTGGATCATGTTGCCAGCGTAATCTTCACGTCGGCCCACATTTAAGATTTTTGCAGGCCTATATGCATGTTACCGATCCTTAATGCTGTGACATTTTTTGAAGGCGCAGCGGTAGTCCCTCCGGCCGTAGTGCTGGCCAAAATTAAGCGGCGTACTTGACTGTACCGCGGCAAATAGTAGGTCGTGTTATTTCATATAAGCCAATATTTTTATTTACAAAATTAAGATAAATATTTAAATTTCTTCAATTTGGCTGATTTTTTCCTATGTTTTTGCTTAGACAAAGTTTTTTTTATCAGTTTACCTTATTTTTCGATTAGGAATAGTCTGAGAATCCAAATTTTCCTTATTTTTGATAGTAAGTAGTTTTCTTTTATGACTAAACCCTTTTATCTTACATTATTTGACAGATTTAACTTGAACCTGAATCATAAGCCCACTTCTAATATGAGTAATTAGATCAATATGATCACTAATATCATAAAGAAAGGAGGTCAGACAAGAAATAGATATTGATTTTAATGCTTGATAACATTTCACAAATTTATTTAATGAGTACACAATTGTAAATTGGAGTTTAAGGTAATCTTCTCTGATTTCTTCTAAAAAAAAGTAATTGCAAAAGTATCAATTTTTTTAATCTCATCATTCTATTCTTTATAAGATATGATAAAAGTTTATCTTTAAAGAAAAATTATTAGTGAAAAAATAATATAAAAGGTTTGCTAAGAAAATGGGATTCTGAAATTTTTTTTTTTAAAATTAAAAATTTTGATACATTAATTTATAACTTACAGTATATACTTCAAATTTTATAATATATTATCTTATTTTTTTATTTTTTTTTTAATATTGAAAGTATTTTACTTAATAAATCTAAAAATAGATTTTGGAAATAATAAACATATTTAATATACTATTTAGGAAATGATCAACAAATGAAATTTAAAAATTTTACTAATAATTTATATTATATCAAACTTAATATTTATTTTAATTTTTTAATTTATTCAAAAAAGATTTGTTAAGATCTGTTGTTGAGACTTTAAAAGTCCAATCTTAGTATTAGGTTTACTAAAGTGATTCTTTATATCAATAAACTCTGCTTCCGCTTACGTAATACCTTGGAAAAAAAAATATTCAAAAAAATTTGAAAATCTCTTTCTCTATTTTCCCAAAAATGACTTGAAAAAATATTACAAAAAAAAACTTCAAATAATCATAGCTGCTCTTTGTCATCTATTAATAATAGAACTCTACCATTACTAGCAAAAAGATAATAACTAAACTAGCAATAATAACAAACAGAATTACTAGTTCAGTCAATTTTAACTGCAGATATCACTTCTATAGAAGAAAATATGAGGTTAATCTAATTATCATCACAGAAAAATAAAGGCAAATATTCAAAAACTTTACTTTACCAGTCAATAATAATATCCTTTATAACGATCAAGCTCATAATACCTCAAAAAATAATATTATATACTTTGAATGAGATATTAAAGCTTCTATTTACTTTGTTTACTACATTACTGTCACTTTTTTTCTGACAAACCCAATAGGAAAAAAACAAACATAGTATGCAATTTGTTTTGTGATACAGAATACTTTTTATTTATTAGTACTTCAGTTCATATTTCATCCTTGAATATAACAAAGAAAATTGTTAGTTACAATATGAGTTGACGCTGAAAAAGCTCTTGCACTTCAAATTTCTTTTATAGATAATTATACATTTTTAGTATTATCAAAAGTATAGATCACCAAATATGTTTTAAAATACTCTATTAAGATCACTAAAATTCTGATCTCAGTTACTGATTCTAACATTCATGGCAGTTTTTCTTTTTTAGAAATGTATAATGACTACTAAAAATTTATAGCAATAAGCCATTATCATCTAATAAAGTTATAGATATGAGACAATTTCTAAAAATTGACAGTTGTTTTATTTCAAAAGATTTAATCTGTATATATCTTTGTATTCTCTCAAATAAAAAAATCTATCATAAATCCAAGTTCTCTTTGAAACTTATTAATCTTTTTATAAATACCAATGGTAGATAACTGATCCTAATAGGATATGCAGTTAATTCAATGACTTAAGTAATTTCTAAGGCAAAATCTAATTATTGAAACTTACAATATACTATCTTTTACTTCAAATCCCAAGAATATTTAAATAATGCTAAAGATAGAGAAACATTTTTTCTAGACTGAAAATGTCTAATCTGAACTGAACCAAATACTAAATTATATTATATTTGCTCAGTTCCTGAACATCAATCCAATAATTATCACTGTAACTGCAAAGCTCTAAATGATTGATAAACTCAAAATTTATACTAATATTTCAAGCTAACACAATTCAGCAACTATAAAACTTCTTAACCTAAACCTAAACCAATCCCTACTATATCACACTAATAAATTAAAGATAATTGTTGATCTCTCTCTAATAAGCTATAATGATAGAACTATCAGAAAAATGATCTTAAACCAGTACTAATCACTACTAATAATAATATGCCAGTTCGCTTTCCACTAAAACTGATCAATTACAAGGGTAAACAAATACTGGATAGTAGTATTTATACTAAATTAGATTGGTCCAATATATATAAAGAAGAATACTACTCACATGATCAATACAAACCTAATGAAAACTGAAATTCACCTATTGCAGACAAAATTCTGTTACAACTTGAGATAATTACTAAATAACTCGTAACTATTCACAATAATCTCTTCTTACTATCAAACATATATCATTAGTAAAATTTACTTTTACTATCTCAGTTATTACTGAATCTGCTACAAAGATTCTTAATAACTCATATGTTATGAAAGAAACTCAATTATGCCTTTCAAGTAGTAGCAGAAATATATTATGCACTCAAAAATTCCAATTAACTTAGCAATATCATTTCAGTTGAAGCTTTAATTCTTCTAACTCAAGTCTTTCAAAATAAAAAAAAGAGATTGCAAGTCCACTCTCAAGATTTTTTTTAATTATAATTAAAGATAGACACTATAATTAAGAAGTTACAATTTAGTAAATTGCAACTCCTTGTGAATTTATTTTAATATAAAAATTCATAAATAGTTGCAACTAGTTAAAAATTTTAAAAATAATTATGGGAACCATCTTTAATTATAATAATTAGTATAACCAATATTATTGATAATAATATTGTGTTATTATCACCTTCATCTACAAATATCTTTGAATCTGATTTTACTCCTTCTTATATAAACTTTATTACCCATAATGTTTGCTCATTCAATGATTTATTAAATAAAAACAATTAATTAACTTTATCTTCTAAATTACATAAATATTATTGGATTATAAAAAATGAATTTACTACTAATAAAAATGTATCCAACCTCTATTATTACATTTTCCCAACATATATCACATTTTTAAATATAAATAAATCATATAAAGAACTGGCTTTAATATTGGTCTACTTATTAAAAACACCTTACCAATCATATATATAAACATGCAAATAACCTTAAAAGATATATTTATATCAACATGCAATTCCAAGCTAAATTCAAAATCAGAATTATTAATATATACTTATCTAGCTCTGATACATAACTTTGTATACAAATAATCAAAGAAATTATTGAGATCATTAAGCAGACTCTTTTCTTAAACATGGGATTAGTATTACTGAAAGATTTTAACGCTATTTCTGATAGATCAATTAATCTATAAAAAACTAATGAATTTTTTATATTGCTCTATTCTCTGAACATCTTAATGTATGTGATCTGTTATATGACCATGCAAATACAACCATCTAACATTCTCTCATAATATAATAATCATATCCTTAAGGATTAATCACATTTATATTTCCTCAATTATTACTCCTGATATTATATCTCCACAAGTTTTTATATTGATCCACAACTCTCAGATTATCATGTTGTCTTAACTATAGTTGTCAGAAATAGTTAAAAAATAATATTGTATAAAACGAAAAAAATATTGTAATTTCTTTATGACAAAATTTTAAATGCCGATTGGGCTATCTTCTCAATAAAGACAGATACCTTATTAAATTCATGTCATTTATTAAATATGATAATTACTCATTTAAACTCCATTTATATGTTAAATTACTATTAGAGTCACATGCAAAACTTTATTATCAAAGCTGTAGAAAAGACATTACCTCATAAATTTTCAGCAAACCACAACTAAGATCTTTACTTTAAAATCCTGAAAAAAGATTATAAATTATCTTCAACCTTTAGAAGCTAAAACAATCTATAAAACAAATTATCTACACATAAGTCATCAACAGTTTTTGGCTTCTCTTATATAATAAAATAAAATTATATTCTAAACAATTCAACTTTCCTCTAGAAAATATTAATGTAGTAAACTTTAATATTATTACTAATTTCTTGCCTTATATTAAATCCTTTCTAGGTATAGTATCTGTCACCATAAAAATTAAAGATAATGAAATAAAAACCAAAATGATTAAAAAAGTACTTAACAATACTACATTAATTTCTAAACTAACTAATCAAAGATGATCAACTCAATTCTTGAAAGAAAAAGAAGTGTCATTATGCTTGATCAATATCTTAATTACTTTCCAAATGATATTGATTTTCTAACTTCAGCTTTTGATATAAAACATGAAATTGTATATCATTTTTAATATGCAGCTAATCTACAGCATAATAATATAAAAATACCATATAAATAGATATCCTTTTATAAGCTAATTGATGATATTAATCTTTTACTTTATAAATAATCACAAATTATTAACTTGCTTTCCAATAGAAAAGCCACCAATCCTTCAAAAATTTCTAATAAAATATTAAAACAACTTGGCTTCAAATAGGTGAAACTTAGCATATGTATATTCTATTACGAAATTAAAACTATA